CCGTACTTGGAGCTCACTGTACACCAGTTCAACGGATTTCTTTCGGCAACCGACCCGAGTTCACACCGAAAGTTTTCGTATCGTAAATGATAAGTTAAATACTTTTGTATCTTAGTTCGTTAAAAGAACACTCACCATAATTTCGAAGAAAGACTATTGGATTTGAAATTATGGTGATTTTTTTTTAACGGCCTAAGATGCAAAAGTATTTAACTTATAATTTCGAAGAAAGACTATATCCAAATCCAATCCGCATTTACGATACGAAGACTTTCCGCTTTATTTCACGTTTCAATGATTTTATTGAAATTTTTGATGAATCTCCATACATTTCCTTATAACAGGACACCACAGAAACCAAGCTTGGGCTACCTGTGGAAAGACAAGGTCTTCATACAATAACATCTTTCAACAACTCAATCATACTAGCTCGAAATCAAACAGTTAAATATTTGGTGCAATTTTATATTTCATTCAATAAATTATGGATAGAAAGATATAAAATTATTGAATGAAAGTCTTCTTTTGTTTGCCGATGGGTCCCCTCGATAGGAGGCGAACAAAGCTGTATTTTTCTTGAACGAAAAACATACGATAGTTGGTTAAAAACAACCGAATTGTTAAACATTTACAAAGCTAAATAAAAGACGAATATTTGCTGTAATATTTGTTTTCCGGATTATATTTCATCCAGCATTAAAATCAATTAAGCTTATCTATAGAAATATTAAAAGTTTTGAGAGAAATTCTTTGGTTTGCCTCGATAAAAATTCTTGTCAAAATCAGTATTAAATAATATAGTATTGTTTGCTAAAAAACACACACCTTTGACTGTATGAAAGTCTTTTTTTAAATTGTTATCTGTCTATAATTTGCTCTAAAACTATTTTTTCTGCGCATTTAAGAGCCGTATTTGCGAGTAGTTTTTCTTTGACATCAAGCGGGATCCCTGTGTTGTGTACACGGACGTACGGACGGCAGTGACGTCAGCCAAGCTATGAAAAATCAGCTCGATGGTTTACCATTTTAAAAAAAAGTGATTCCCTTGAAAGAAATTTTACCAATAACTTTGTCCTGAAACTTTGCATGGACATTAATTATATTTTGATGGACATTTAAAAACTGCAATAAAAAGACTGGGTCACCAGTCTCGTTTTTTAGCTAGATGCTTTCCAAATATGTCAATTTATGGGTTTTATAGAGAAATGCGATAGCAAACGGAGGTTGTAATCCAGAACCTTTATTCACAGTTAAAAGTACTTTCATATAACGAAACGCACTTATAACTCTAAGTTTATTCTTGAACTATCAGTGAAACATGAAGGTGTGTGCGCCTCTACGATCGTCCAAAAATTCTACATGTCAATTATTCCACATCAAAATCTTTCAAAATCTATCCTCTTAATACACTTTCCTTCATATTTTGATAATTGATGACAAGCATTGCATTTATCAAAAATCTGAAATAAAAAATGGGGGTCATTATTCTCGTTTTTGATTTATCTTGAAAAAACATCTCAAAATAGTCAAAAACTAACGCTTTTCCGAGTGGATACTGGGGCGAGTCAGATAAAAATCGCAATTTCTCTACTTAAAAAAAGATAAAAAAGTGAAAATTGATTTTGAACATGTTTCTTGCTTAGTTTCCGAAAGAAAAATGCCATCCCTAAGAGGGCCTAAAAAAATTACAGCCCCTCCCCATAAATTTACCGGCCCTCCCCCCCAATAATTAATGACCGCTCCCTAAGGGACTGGTCATAACGTATGGGGGGCGGGGGAGGGGAGATTGGGGGCAAAATCAGGGGGTGGGTCACATAATTTTGAACTCCTTCAAAGGGGTGGGCTGTTGATAAAATTTGACAACTAAAAAGGGTGGGCCATTATAATTGTCATCATCAGAATTCCTCAAGGTAATTTGCAGTTGCAATTTATTGTTGTGTTATCTACGATTTCGTAAAAATCGATTAAAAATCAGTAAAACTCTAGATCTCGATACGGCAGTGCGAAAAAAGGTCGCCATTTTTGTTTTGCTTCAAATATCAAGATGTTTGGAGAGAAAAACGTAGACTGTGGTTGATGTCTGTCGTTTGTACTACATTCTACACTTTTATCATCTTTGTATTCATCTAACAACAGAACTAAGCGATATTTAACGCTTTGTATTTTTGTTTTTGAATACCATTTTAAGAGAAAATGACTAAAATTGCACTAGTAGCTTTTCAATAAAATTTGACGGCAAGCGAACTGCTCGTGCAAGGAATGGACGTAAAAAAATCCATAAAACCTCCTATAATTTGTTAAGTCTCGTTCGCTATTTTTTCCCGTTATGAACGCGGTTTCATCAAATAGTGCACTTCCGGTTACGACGGCTTAAAAGGCATTTTTCTTCTTATGCTAATCTACTTGGAAAGCCGTCGTAACCGGAAGTGACAGGAGAAAGGGGAGAGGATCCGATAGTAAGTTTCGTGTAAAGTTCGTAAGCAGACGAAGTAAGACAATCAATAAAACGTTTAATTATCGATCTGCTAACGTCATAGTGAGTGAGTAACACATTTGCATGTTCAGACCCATCACAGTAACTCGTTTCCACGATTCGCATATTCATAATCAAATAAATTTTTTTAAATGACCGCGGCAATCCCCAATGGTTTCTTGCAAACTAACCGCCAATAGAATGTGGTACTGCGGCTTAGACTAACCAAAAGAATTAAAGAATATAACCGAACGCGCGCACAGAGTGTTTACAGGTGAGTAGATTTCAGCTTTAGGTGTGTTGTTGAGGTGTGCTGCCATAAAAAGCTAGATTACATGTATGTACAACATACTATTGTACTACTGAGAACATCCCATACAGATGTTAGTGCGGTACTTGAGCTATGTTGTTATTTATGTTGTGCGGTACTTGAGCTATGTTGTTATTTATGTTGTTACTTGAGCTATGTTGTTATGGATACAGTGCGCTAGACCCGTGCTAGAAGTCTGCATGTCTTCACAATGGTTTCCCTTAGACAGTGGCCACACAATGCAAATAAACACGAGCGTCTGGTTTTCATCATATGCCTTTGACTGCATCATGACAGCTCGTCAAGAAGCAACCGCGGCTTGTGGCTTAATTCCGTATAATTTCAATGAAATGATTTACACAAGCCAACTGATCAATGTTTTGAGTACAACATGCAAAACGAAAGAACATTTTTACAAATCGCACTTTAGTCAAGGCGGTGTGTGCATTTTTAAGCAGACTTATTGATAAGGGTGATATTTTACTACGGGTAACGTGCAAGTTAGATGACGTCATCATCTAAAATTTGGTTAAAATTGCTGAAAATTTCTGCTTGTCTCTTGATCGAGCCACTTGACCTATGACGTCATCAACGAGGGCCACTTGAGGGTGTTTGGTTTATATCGAGTGTAGTATGAGTCCATGGTACCTACGTTTTGCTATGGTACCCAGTTTCCTGCTATCGTATCCAGGCTACTGCCTCTTTATCAATGTAAATGCTACGGCACTCTACGGTACCCAGGTTCGTGCTATGGTACCCAGGTTTAGGAAACGATACCCAGGTTCTCAGCACCATTAAGGCATGGCTCTTTTGAGGAAGTGATGGAAAATCAGTTATTTATTCATATCTTTGACAGTTTACTATGAATCTTTCCCAAATTTGGCTCGTAGTAGTAATTCTTCAAGGCAAGCAATTACCGCATATCTGTTACCATGGAAACCAGGTCACGTGACCACAAGGTCGCCATCTTGGATTTAAAAAAAAATCGTTTGTAGTCGTATTGAAACTACTTCAAAAGTCCTGAAAATCCATATTCCTTTTGATATTTGCAATACCTATATGGATCTAATTGGATRTCTTGGAAATTATATTAAGTTTAATTCTTAGAATATTTTTAATTTTTTGGAAAAAATAGAAAATATTCTAAAACTTAAACTTAAAATAATTTCCAAGATATCCAATTAGATCCATATAGGCATTGTAAATATGAATAGTAATCTGCATTTTCATGACTTTTAAAGATGTTTCGGTACGTTTACAAACGGCTTGTTTCAAAATCCAAGATGGCGGCCTTGTGGTCACGTGACTTAGTTTCCATGGTAACCAAGGCTCTAAGGTTCCTTCTTTTCACAAAAGACATTAACTTGCCAAGTTTGGGGAAGATTCGTAGAAAACTGGCTTTGATATAGCTAATCAGTTTTTCATCTGAGAGCCATGCCTTAATGATGCTGAGTTCATGCTACCGTACCCARGTTCATGCTATGGTACCCTGGTTCATGCTATGGTAGCCAAGTTTAATTATGCTCCGGTATGTTATGGTACCTAGGTTGATGGTATGGTACTTAGCTATAGGTTCATGTTACGGTACCCAGGGTTATGCTATGTACCCAGGTTCATGCTCCAGTACCTAGGTTCAAGTGGTTCTTGCGATGCTATGGTACACAGGTTAATGCTGCTGCACAAGTTCAAGTTACGTTATGGACCATAACATGCTCGATAAGCACAGGTGGCGAGAACGCTACTAATAATTCGCTCTAGAATTGTCTGTTGGTTTTCTCCTGTGCTCCAAAGGTTTTTCCTTACCTTCACAAAAATCAACTTCTAAATTTAATTCGATTTGCCTTATTAATGAGGTTGCAAAACCTATGAGGAATTACGCCGTCCTCCAGATTTTTCGGGTTCAGAAAGAAACACAGAACACAGAAGGTTACCGAAAGTTATTCTGGTAAATGTCATAATCCTCCTCTGACGCATTGATTTGAGTTACACCTAATAGCGCAGCGCACTGATTCTAAAAATAGCTTAAAGATTCGGACAAACATTGCATTCTGTTTAACCGCTACGAGGATTATACGAACCGATTTTATTATTTTTACTTAAAGTTACAATAATAACCCATGTAAGCTAAGATCAAATGCGTTCGGCTGTGAAAATTATCTGCTGAAAGTAAACTTGTAAGTTTGTTTGTCCGAATTTCGCCTTTGTCTTCGTTTTTATGACGTCACGGTTGAGCTGCGCTATTGAAAAAACGTAGTCGGGTTCAAGGTCATATCATCGAAGCTGAGACCGAAAAGGGTACTTCGAAATCTGTATTATATTTGCATATAGACATGTAAAAATGCACAGTAGAGCAAAGTCGGTCGACCTAAATTAACATGCCAAAGCCACGATGCATAAAATGTGCACAGGAAGGGAAAACTGCAATACGCATGAAATTAGCATAATTCTTTGTCTTCCCATGCTCCCCTTCGGTCTTAGCTTTGATGATATAACCTTTTTTTGAACCCGACAACGCTTTTTCATTWAGGTGTACACAGTCGATATGATACATGTGTTAAAGGCGTCCATGCTTTCTGTCAGTGGAACACTTTATGAACATTCCACGAGTTGCCACAGGGTTAGCTCAGTTAGTAAGATCGTCGTCCTGTTATGGGGCTGGTCGTGGTTCAAGCCTCGGCCGGACCAACAGCTAAAATAACCGAGGTGCTGCCTTTGTAATTACATCTGCAAATGGTTAGACATTCAAGTACTATAGGTTAGGGACTTTAAACCGTAGGATCAAACCGTATTCACAGCAAATGAAGACTACACTTTGAAATAACAAAATAGTTTAATTAACTTATACATAAACCATACGAATCCTTTTTCACACAAGCAATCCAGCTAAAGGAATGCGGTTCAATATAAACACTAATTCTTCTTTCACTGTTAAAAATAACTGCCTATATATTGTATACAAAAATATATGTGATATCTTGTTTGTTCCTAGAAAAACGGCGATACACATACTTACGTATGTCTATTAGAAAAATATACCTTTTCATTTGTCAGAAAAAAATGTAGTGAAAACACCCCGTTGCCTCTATGTATATTATTAGGTTTTTTATATAAAAATACTTTATATATAAAACTTGGAACGTAGATCGGATGACCACGAATAAATGGTTCCAAAAGGAGGTTGGAGTAGATGTGTTCATACATTTACTGTAGTTTATCAGGGTTAACCTCGATTTCGAACCACTGTTTCGTGGTCACTCGAGCGTATTCGTGAAAGTTCTACTAAGATGATTTTTCTTCCCGATGCTGGAGCAGGTTTGTAAAGAAAGAACAATCTAGCTTTTGAACCTCCCTCGATGCATCAATAGAAATCAATAGAAAATATGTTATGAACGCACTTTTTCAATTTATAAACGAGTTACAAAAAATCTATGCAATGTGACATCTATGCTTATCTCCTTATCTCATATTTATATTAATTCCATAATACAAATAAATATTTATAAAATTTCTTAAGCATACTTGTTACAAGGTCAAGAGAAGGACGACGCTTTTCTAGTCTTAGCGACGCACATCACTCAGTGGTTTGCTTTACATTACTGATTTTATCTTTTGATTCAAAGATTGTCCTCCTGGTATCTTCTGCATCTTGTACTTATCTATTTATCATATGCTATGTAAATGAAGACAGTTTAAATGGCTAGTAGTTTTTTTAAAAGAAAGGTTACCAGAGCAAATTGAAAAAAAAAATGCCATAGAATGATTTTAACGTATTATAGGTATAAATAAACACAATTTTATTCTATGGCCCATTTAAATTATAGAATATACTAAAACTACCAGAATCCACTGCGCACATTCTTAGGTTCAATAGACCCTTTTCGAGTTCCAAATTACCGCTGTGTTTCTTGATTACAGACTCATTTGCTCAGGCCAAGCCTCGAATCAGTGTCTAATTATTCGCAAATACCAACGGTAACGGTACAACTTCAACAATACGAACACTTTGAAACTTGACGGACCTTGACTGGAAAACGTGAATATTCTTCACAAAATCGAGGCTTAGCCTGAGTAAATGAGTCTGTAATCAAGAAACACAGCGGTAATTTGGAACTCGAAAAGGGTCTATTGACTGATTACACGGATTGTTTCTTTATTCTCAAAAGGCGGTAAAAAATGGACCTCTCCAAATTATCGTGGAAGCGAGGCTAACATGAAAATACAAAAGAAATCACACTTTTTCTCGATGGTATTTCTGGCATTTCTTTTGTATTTCCATGTTAGCCTTGAATTCAAGACAATTTGGAGAAGGATTGAACATTTGAAGAGCATTTTAGTGTTGGTAGTAGAATGGAATCAAGATGCAAAACAGAGGTCGGCCTCACCAAATACTGCCGCCAAATCATAGTAAATGTAATTTTATGCCTGGATATCGATATCGTCCGAAATATCTTACTCAAAAAACTTCTAGTCATTCTTTTCGTATATAAACTTTTGGCCCAAAGAAACATATTCAAATTTCATACCTATAATTCCGTGAGCATTATACAYTGAATGCCAAAGGCTCTCTTGCTCAAGTGCTTCCCTGTAACTCAGGGCTGGTTTTGTATTCGGTTTTGGCTTAACAAATCTTATAAATTTGCACTGCATGTGTTGCGGGTTGGTTCCAATCAGAACTAAACAGACACCTGCAACGACGGCTAAAAGCAAATTGAAAGTTTGCACTGATTGCAGTCTTTTTATGTATATATATTTTTTGTATGTTTTGCTCTGGCGATCCTTTGAAATATGTAAATAACGATATTATAATAGCTAAATAAATCATGCTTTGGATAATATCATACAGATTCTAAAATATTATATATATTTTCGTCAAAACCGACAACTTTGAAGTTGAAGGTAGACCGATGTATGACAGACAGTCGGAGAAGAGTGGCAGTGGCAATTAAAGTGCAAATGTTAACCAGGGGTTGATCCACCGTACACAAGAATCTTATAAAATTTACAAACCTACATCAGAAAGACCCTGCCATATACCTTTCTGAAAACATCCTTTGGAAATGAACACTCATTTGAACAGTAACATATTTGATATTTTTTTTACAACAATTCATACACACACACACAGAGATAAGAGCAACCATGTTACTAGCACAGAGGCATTCTTTCACCTGTCTCCGAGGACGTTCATCACACGGCGCCATGTAACTTCATCCAGAAGCGCTTGAATGTGAGGCTACGCGGGGGAAAGTTATTGTTCCAGTCACCATGGCTGCCGCGTGATAAAGGTCGGCCATAGTCACATAGTAACATGATGCGATCCATCTCTGAGTGTTTTGGTTTATGGAAACTAAAACTTCTAATATATATTTTGTAACCTTTCCTACTGAACTCGATTTAGTTCTCGAGCATACCGTGATAATGCGATACTAAAAGCTAATTTTGACGTATGAATAAACTAAGTACTCACAAAAAAGGAGAAAGAGTAAATAACTATGTATTATGGTGATTGACATCACGGAAAACTAACGACAGCAATATTTCAAGACCCAAATGCATTTTGTGTCTCCGTCAGTAGCTCTGGACCATGTTTAAACAAAACCTCGCTGCCATGAGAGACATACAGTCAATGTCATTAACGTTGTCCACCAAAAAAATACATTTACACATTTAGACATTTAGACTAAAAGAAATATCATGTGTTTCCTAGAAGGTTCTGGCATAAAACAATTGCTGAAATACCATTATCCATCTTAAATCCTCACTAAATGGTCAGGGCATTCTGGATTTTGGATTCACGAGTTTTGAATTTTACATTTAAAGTTCAGGCTGACGCACACGAGGCAAAGAATACATAATGAAACACGTGATATATCTTTTAGCCTAAATGTGTACATGTCTCTTTTCGGTGGACAACGTTAATGACATTGACTGTATAAAAAATGTACACATACGGCTTGCGAAATGTTTTTGGGTCTTGACATATTTTCAAAACAGAACAAATGCATGATATTTCTACAAACCGCTTTATGCCTAAGTATAGGAATGCAAAGGACGTGTAGGATTTTGAGAAACCATTTGGTGGTTATGAGAGTATGAAGAAGTCATCAGTAAATGGGGATGGATACTGACTGTTTCCTGTCCAGACATCACGTTATCTTGGTTTAGTACTGGCGGTGATAAAGGAGCTATGGGTACAGCTGATCCAAACATTTGAGAAGTTGGCATAAAAATACAAGACGAACTTCTGAGGTGACTGTTGTTGCTAATAGTCTCTGGATCCCCTTTGAATGTTACTCCATCAGCGACGCCTGCAGTGTTCCATCCTCCGTGATAAAATGGCACCCCACTATAGAAGGAATCTTCCTGATAGTACATTCCAGGCTTGGACGAGAGGATTAGAGGAACCTCCTCTATTACCCGAGGATGCATGGCACCATTCTCCTGTACGTAGAGGTACCTTGATTCAATTGGAGGGGTATGAGGACACATTGTTACTGGTTGTTCTGTTATACTTGAACGTCTTGTTTGTTCATTTTGGTTTACAGTTATATAGGCGGGGTATTGCGTCATTCCCTGTCTTCGTCGCCATTCTTGAAAGTGTTCATCGGGACTCTCAGCAAATGTACGATGAGTAATAGTCCGATGGACTTCCGAGTTCAATTGATTTTGTTCAACTTTTACTTTGCTTTGCTTACGTTCAACGCTCATCGGTAGCTTTACTTCCTCCACTAGCCTGAAGTTATGTTGTGGATTAGGGTAGGTTTCTTTGTAGTGTCCACGTGATAAATGAGAATCTTTAGATTGTTTATCTTCAGGATGACCAAGTGATGCAGTTAAATTCTTACTTTGGTTCACGCGTGTGTTATGCACATTTCCATAGAGACGTGGTTCAGTTCTTTGACAAGAATCTTCTACTAAATACTGCTGTTTTGTATGTGTAATCCTCGTGTACGAAGGAGACTTTGAAGGTTTTGGATAAGCAATGGGATCGCTAGCTGACGTTTTAGCTACGCTACTTTCAGTCAAGTCAACAACTTCTTTTTGGAAGTTTGTTTGTTGGACGGGAATCTGTTCCAGATGCGAAACTTTTCTTTCGTTTTGAATTCCTTGGTTAAAACCTGCATGGGCATTATAAAGCTTACCACATCCATCGTCATGTGCCTTGATTGTGTGGCAGGATGAATAGATAGCATCATTCTGACGGTAAGCAAGATGACACGTACCGTGAGACTGTGTAGTAACATCTTGAATGACGTCTTGCGGTTGATTTGTGACCTTCGTTAAAGAAGGACTTGGTGTCTTCCTTCGCTTTGCTATGGGCTCCCCTTGATTATGGCAAACTACTCTATGAGGGAAACCTTCATCTGGGATTTTTCTTTTCATTTCATCACTTGCTATAAAATCATTCTGCGCTCTTCGCTTGTTGGAAGATCTTCCGATATTTTGCTGTGAGCTGGCTTCATAAGTGCGCGAGTCCCGTACGTTACCAGTTTGGTGATGGGGAGTGTGATCTTGATAAATTGGTTCTCCCACGTGCTTGAGTTCTCTCTTGTGATTCGAGCTATTCTGTGCAGCAGTACGAGTGGGTTCACTACTACGCTTTTCTGGCTCGTATGCTTTTTCTCGAGCGAAAGTACGCCCTTCTTCATTTGACACGGGATGACCACTTTTAGTCATGTAATTCACACGATGACCAACATTTTCTTTGCTAGTATTACTCTGAGAAGACTGCTTCTGTGGGAGGTAAATTTTGGGAGATGTCACGCTGACCTGTTGCTGAGGCGGTCCAATTGAATGGTTTTGTGGGTTTTGCACTTGAACGACTTTAACCGCTTCATGTTTGATAGACAAGGGATAAGTCTCAGGTGTTGGGTTCTTCACTGGTGTTTTGATGATAATTGTACGCGAGGAATGCGATGATGCTGATTCATGTGCTGTTGTTCTTGGTGTCACAGTCGTGCCGTTTTGGATCACGTTCGATGACCCATGGGTATCAAGCTTATTAATCAATGTAGATGCAGAGGACGTTTTTGGCAATGCGATGGTAGAACTTCGAATTAAAGGTGCTGATTGATCGTTGATGGATTTCGTGACGACGACAAATGAAGATGAAGTGACATTGTTTTTCTTAATATTTTGAACGCTTACAGAATACGGGGCTATCACACCGTTAGGTTTTACCTTGACCACTGAGCTACTGGCACTATGACGTGAAATATTGTTCTTTATGAGTAACTTACTATCGGTGGTAACGGGTGCGTTCGCCTTGGTTGACCCAGACTGCTTAATAAGATCCGTATTATCGTTTGATGCCTTAAGACTAGCAAGTGTACTGTTGTTATTATTGGATGTGGCTGTTATTGGTTGGCTATCAGTACCGCGTTGATTGTCATGGCTACTCTGCGTCTTGCTATCCTTTGTAACTGAGTTATTTTCGTCTATGGTAGTCGTACCGGCTTGGTTGGTGCTGTTGATTGGATGCCCTTTAGAGGTGCTGTCTTGGCCACTGCTGGTGTTTGGAAGTTGGGTTTGCTCAGGAAGACCTTTTTTATTATTCAACTGACTCCGTACGTAGGTTTCATATGGAAGTAGCAGCCTGTAGAAAAACAAAGATACATGTTATCAATTTATTTTGAATTCTTCAGAACGTCCTTAATATTTGCCAATAACCGGTTACTTGCCTCTCGTAATGTCGTCGTGTATAAGTAGCGGCACTAGTGATGGTGGTACTACCTCCTAATGCATCATATACTTGACGCCAAAGCCTCTTGGATGTTACCTGATATCAAACAAAACTTGTCAATTTACTAGATTTAAATGTGAATATCAACCATAGCTATGCTCGACCTAATAGTTTTACCAAAATTTCTCGCAAAAAGGGCTCGTTGGAAAGCAGAACAAAAAAAAAAAAAAAAAAAAAAAAAAAAAAAAAAAAAAAAAAAAAAAAAAAAAAAAAGAAAAAAAGAAGAAGAACCTGCGTCACGATGCTCGAATTGGCTTCAGCTTCCTGTTGCTTGGGATCAAGCTCGGAGTATAGCTTTAATTGAGGGATAAGGCACCCTTCCCCTCCCCTCCCCCACTCCTTCCCGGGAAAAACTGTCACAACACTTCCTTATTGAGATTCCATCTGAGAAAGTCTTACCATGTCATAACCGCCAAGCTTCTGTGCGGTGTTATACATTGTCCATAGATTAACTCGCTTGAATCCTAGTGCTGGTATCTTTGATATTGGGGTATCTCGCGATTTCATAAACTCACGCAAAGATCGCATGAAATATTTCTCATCTTCGTCGGCAAATTCCTAGAGAAAATCGAAAATCGAAACAAAATTAACAGAAAAAACAAGTTTGATTTCGAGTTTTGAAGTACCCTGTATGGATGGCAGAGAGTTTCTTTATTCCTTTACATTACGAGAATGGAAGGAGCCATCTGCAAGTACCTCTCTCTTCCATATTCCGCTGTAGACATATTTTCGGAGGTTTGCGATAACCTGATGAATTTTATTGCTTTTTATTATATCGATATCGATGAAATACCAGGTTTTCTCTAGTGTCGAAAACTTGATATCTTTCACCAGTGGAAGATACCATATCTTTCACACGTGAAGATATCGCTGTTGAATCGGCTTGCTATTTTAATAAAGAATTTTTGAGCTTTTGTTTTATTTAAGTTTCATCGACATCTATATTATAAACAGAAGATTACGTGGTCGCGCGGAGTGCGCTCACTCGTGAGATATCAATTGAACACTCGAAGATAAAATTCGTATCTCCGCGCGCCCATGTAGTATCCTTTATAAATTACCTCATTGAGTTCTTTTACGTTACAAGGTTGCCTGATCCTTTTCTTCTTAGTCTTGATCATCACATCTGCCTTGTTACTGTCCTGCTGGTTCTCCTTGCCTTCCATTTTCATGTCATCAGAAGGCTGGACCCTGCTCGACTTACCATCCACTAGCGTCTGTTTGCCCGTGTTACAAAGTGGATCAACAGATTTCATCCCGTTACACGTAGACATTTCGGGCTTAGTCCCGGTCGTAGTCGGTGACGCACTAGAGGATGCCAATCCAATACTACGACTTTTAATGGCTGTATACGCCTTGGAAGAAGACGAAGAAATCTCATTCCCTTGCATTCGGTTATTGCCAGGAACATCTACTCGAGGTAACAACCTTGGGACCGATTGACTTGTCTTCTTGACACTTTCTATTTTCTGCACTGCAGCAGGATAGAGAGGAGGAGGTCCCGCATCGACCTTAGGAACCACGGATGATTCAGTTTGAATTTTGATGATTTTCTGTAATGGTGGTGGTAAGGCAGGAACTAGTTTTACTTTTGATGTTGGTACGAGAGGAGGTGGTATAGTGTTCTTTAATTCATTTTCGCTGATGCTTATAACTTTGGCCTCCTGTTTTATTTTCATATGCAAGAAACCATTCGGCTGTCTTATCTTGTTTAGTGGGGTTTCAACAGCAACGCAAGGCTTATCTTCGTCCATACTTTCATATGACTTAGAGCTCTCCTCAGAGAGATCTGACTCTGTGCCCTCTTCACTTTCAGACAACTTTATTTTCTTAGAAGGTAAATTTTTCTTGACACGTTCCAAATCCGCAAGAAATCTTTTTCGTTTGAGTTCCTTAGCAAGCGTTGAGCTTCTGATCTTCTTCTTTCTCGGTCTGCCCTTCAGTACTGGAGCTACGAAATAAATGTGCAATATATGGTTAAATTTTGTTATCCTATTCCAAAGCAAGATGAAGAATAATGAATAACCAAGTATTTAAGGTCGAACGAAGAGTTGACGTTATGAAAATGTTAGCCAAAAAAAATAA